GAGAGAGAGAGAGAGAGAGAGAGAGAGAGAGAGAGATTTTTGACTTCTAGTAAACTGAGAGATAGATACATGAAACTTTGTCGTCTAAGGAATTCCTTCTTGTATAAGATGTCATAAGACTTTATATTTAATATTAACATTTCATCAGACTCTCAAGATCCAGGTGAAAATTCCTACTCTATCTATTAAGGACATCATACTAAAGTTAAACTCCAAAAATAACAATAATTTTCCATTTTCTCCATTCCTTGTTAAAATCTTCTAGAAAATAATCTCCCTTACTTGTTGCAATACATTTTTTAATATTAAAGTGATCTTTAATTGAGTTAACCAGTGCACTTAAATTGAAAGAGTTATGTAAGCATCTAGTTTTGTAAATGTAGTGTTTTATAATAATGTTAATTTCATTATCAATGTTACTATACTCATTTTCATGTGACCATGTTCCAAAAATAAATGATTCTTTGTTGACTGTGAATGGAATTAAAAGTGCATCTAAAAATATTTCCAGAGTTTGTAGAAAATTTTGAACTTATTGACATTCCCACAGTATATGAGTAATTGCCTCTCTCTCTGAGTTGCAGAGTGTACACGAAGGGCTTGTAAACTTGGTTTGCCTTAAATAAATATGAATTTGTTGTCAAAATATTATGAAGAATTCTAAATTGAAACCACTGAAGTTTTGAACTGTTTATTATTTTGAAAGGTAATGAGAAAATATTCTCCCAAGCAGATTCATCAAAATCAAAATGTTCTGTCCATTTTTCCTACCTGTTGAAATTTCTTTATTCATTGAGATAATTTTATATATGTGTTTTATTCCTTTAGTGTTTTTGATAAATAATTCTATGTTTAGCGGAATAAAAGGGAGAAGAAGTTCTGTATTCTGAATCCTGTGTATTTCAATATTAGTTCTTATATTATTAATAATACCTTGAAATTTAAGAAAATCTCCACAGGAAATTATCTGGAAACCATCAGCTCATAAGATCTACGAACCGTTTACAATTTAGGATCACCTTGTTTAGTTTTATTCAGAGGGAGAGAAGGGGAAGGGGTAATGGTTTCTTTCTCTGCGTATAGTTCTCGTTTTGTTTTATCTTGTGTGACAAAACTGTGGTATTTTTTTAAAATATCTTATTAAATTAACAAATCTGTATCAAATAAGTCTAGTCAAATATTTGAAGGAATTAAAGAAGGTTTATATCACACTCAGTGAAAACTAACGAGATATATTTATCCAGGTAAAACTATCCAGGTAGTGAGGATAACGTAGTGACATTCCAGAGCAGACACCTTAAACCGTATTCCTTCCACGGCCGATACTTTACTTACACAAACATGCAGGTGTGTTTGTGATGATCGACATCAGATAGCTTTGACGAGCGATAGAGCTGATATGGCATTGTATATTGGAATTATATCCATATTCCTATGTGTAGTTATTTCATTGGCTACAGCAGGATCTCCAGGCGAGTAAGTAGTTTCTATTTAGGTTTTGTATTTAATTCAAACTCATTAAAGTGACGTTGGCAAAAGAAATATTCTTGGCGGAAATGACGTCATACGGAATTACAAATGAACCGATGAATTCAATTTTCTAACATTTGAAAATTCTTTTTTATACTTTAACAATAAAACATGCCGATGAAACATTATATTCGATGTTCTCTGAAGTAAAAGGGTTTCATTTGTATAATTAGTAGTCAATTTGGGTTTTTGTATAGTGTGTTACAGTTGGACTACCCGAATGTGGCAGTAGCTGCCCAGGACAATGGAACACTGTTGGGACAGGTAAGGGCACTCCTGAACCAGTGATAATACATGTATACTGTACTATTACCGGTAAATGTGTTTTCTTTACAGACAGGGATTTTGCATGATGTATTTGTCCTTTCTTTACATGTTATCACTATCACCAACGTTTTGATAAGGCCAATATGTGCTGTTTTTCTCTAAAATCACTTTGTATGAAAACAATGTACAAGTGAAAAGACAACCACCTGGTATTCATGTCTCATGACATTAATTTTTTAAACAGTGACTGTGACGTCACAGTTATAGATGACGCCGCAGTTTAACTTCGCCACTGTTATGAGATTCGGGATTTTCACTAGATAGTTTACTATTATTTCATCTTTCGATACAAAGATCATACAAATATATATAACAAATAGTTAAATGTAGTTACAGTTGTAACTATATAAACATATTTCCTAATTAAGTTATCTACACTGTACGTTAGTAGAGTGCATGACTACATTCGTAGTCCTGCATCTTTTACATTGATTACAATGACAACTTTTGTTTTATTTCACATATCAGAATGCGATATGGCATGACACATTACGATGAACATTAAAAACATGTCTTTACTTTTACGTCCTAGTCAGGACAGAATGGTGATATCTACATCCAGCCGACTAGGAACGGTTCAGGGACCATACTATTTGATGGCTACGATCTACTGGAGATTATTGACGTACGTATGGCTGATATTTAGCATCCTTACTGCAAAACTAACTGTGAAGTATACTAATCCAGCTGTAACGTTGTTTACATTGCCATGGTTACAATGTTTCAGCGTTAATGATTTTAGTAAAACATATGTTATCATATATTTCACATCTATATATGCACGACGGTTATCATTATCAACTCCGCTCAACTCTGTATCCCTTTTAAGGACATGCAAGTGACAATTGATTTGATATGGATAGGGTTTTATTAGTCAAAACAATACCCGAAAGTTATTTTCCCAGATGGCATTGGAGGTGATTTGTAGTACAGTATGGTGTAGCTTGTATATCCCTTTGCCATATAGATGAGGTTACCTATCGAAATGACCCGTGTTTGATGTTTTCAAATTTTGTTTAAAACAATCACTTCATTAGCTTGTTTGGTGTTTAGATTATCAACAGTATGCCGCCGATCTGGCGTTTACATGGACATGTCGGCTACTCTGGGACATTTGAGGGTGGATCTGACATAGAAATTCCCCTGGAAGTGCTGGTAATGAACATTAATATGACTATAAACTATTTTTTCCACTTGTGTAAAAAAACATTTTGAAAAACTTATTCAATAGTTTGAAATGTAACAATATGTGAGAAATGTAACAATATGTGAGAAATGTAACAATATGTGAGAGATGTAACAACATCTGAGAAAATGTCCTTTTCCGAAATAGTTGTGCACGTTTGTTATTGAACCGTGTTTTTTTTAACTTCATCCTGAGGTTTCAATGTCGGTTGGTCCCTTTATAGGGGTGTATGGAATAGCCAGTCATGTCCATTGCAGCGGTTCTGCTTGTAAATATGTACTTCTGTTATTTGCATATTTACGGAAAACAAACTTCGAACCATAAAGATATGTTTTTCTTCTGATTGTATGGATGCAGGATCCCGAAAATCAGGATGTCAGATTTGAACTTGTTGCTGGAGATTTTCCCGTTGGAGTAAATATCGTCAAACATCCATGGAGAATCCTAGGCGTTGCTCTGGATGAAGACGCTATTTACACGTTCACCATCCGTGCAACTGATGCAAGCGATAAGTACGCTGATGCAGTTTTCAAAATAGAGACAATAGGTATTTAACCTTCTTTTATCAATCAAGATGTATTGGCATTGTTGTATATATTCTGAGCATAAACACATAAAATTCCACTCAAAAGAAAGCATGCTTTCATTAGTGAAGCAACCCGGGACAATCCATTTCTCGTGCAAGTCTCAACAAGAAAATACCGAAATGTTAAAAAAATCATAATTTCAACACAAAATCGATAAAAATAGGGCAAAATGTGAAGAGAGGAAAAATAAACATATACCGCCCTGAAAAAGTAACAGGGCAATAAGTCCAGGTGTTTCGGAAGGGTACGCGTCCTCTGCTTCATCGCCGACACTTGCCATGAAAATCTAGGTCAAATTCAAGTAATACCAGGTCCTCTAACTGAGAATAAGAGATGTGACAACAAGTCCACACTGCACATTAATGATCATAATAAAAAATAACGTGCATCATATAACACAAGGAAAACGTTTACTTTCCTGTGGGATGATGATGGCGATCATAACCCTCTATATCTGTTGTTAACCCAGAGATCGATCAGTGTGTCAGAGAGATGTGTCACAACAATGGTCAGTGTAACAACACCAACACTCAGCGAGGATATACCTGTACCTGTCCGATCGAGTATGGGGGACCGACATGTGACGTCAGTAAGTATACATACCTCGCACCCCTATCAGTTAATAACAGTCTTAGTCCATTGCTATTGATGCTGTTGTTTTGTCATCCTTTTTTTTTATTACATGACGTCAAAAAAACCTGTCTCAAAATACAAAGCAAGAAAAACGCATATTTAAACATTTCGATTGTATATTTCATTCTTATAAAATTTCATGTACCTCTGTATATTCGAGGGAATGACTTTCAATACAACTATTTATTTTGTTTTTGTTTCTACTTTGACTAGCTTGTAAAACGACTGCCCTTGGAGTAGCCAAGCCCTCAGTGATCCCTGATGCTCAGCTGTCAGCCTACTTATCTCGATATGTATCAAAAGCATCAGACGGACGTCTGTTAGAAAATGGAAATCATTGGTGTGGTGAAAACGCCAACTCCTGGTTACAAGTGGACCTAGGTATCCTCAGTTATCTTACTGTATATATGTGTTAAGGTAACAGGTAATAATCAGCAGTAAGGTTAAAGTGAATACCAGCAATTGCAATTTATTTTTACCGTCTTGTATGTTGAATTAATTACATTGTGCTGTAGCAATTAAAAGATCGCGATGTCAAAACACTTTATTTGTTTATCATTTTGTACGGAGTTCCTGCCAAAAAATGACTAATTCCTTAAACATTCTTTCCCCTAAAAACATTATAAGGATACGTATTTAACAGGTAAAAGGCATGTTTAAGTCACATTGGTACGTGATAGATGATACATGTCTATTTTACTATGTTACATCGGATATTTGTTACTCTGTAATATCTGGTATATTTTTACATCTAGTACATGTTTATGAGTTCATTGCATTTTTATTGGCTTTCTTGTGATATATTTACCAGGCAGTACAGCAAGGCTATTCAGATTAGAGACAGCTGGGGCCAATTCCACCTTCTTCGCCAAAACGTATACAGTGTCGCACAGTTCTGACGGAATCACCTTTAACTTCATAAACGATGTGAATACTACCATTGTGCATGTAAGTAAAACCGAATTATATACAATAATATTAGAATCTCATTATCAATATTACCCCCTTTCAACATCCCCATTTCCTAACTCACAGAACACACAACACAAAACACAAATTGTATGGAAGGACTAATAGTATACGATGCTTGATAGACAGATTTGGTGTGGTCTATTCCAGATAAATTTAACATGCGGTATAGAGGTTAGTAATTGTTTTAAGCTTAACAAGCCTTACCCATTTCCATTGGAACCTACTTACCTGGTTTCTCGAATAAACAATGTTTATTCAGACAGAATATGTCTTAAATGTTACACAATATCTCTCTTAAGGTACCTTAATATACATTTTCGGATTTGCGTTCCCTATATATGTAATTCACTTCAGAGGATGCCGGTTTCCTGTATCCGACTATATGATCGTATCAGAGAACCAATATAGGGTTCCATAAAGAATAAGGGGGTTCCTATGAGTCCTCTGTTAAGGAGACACTGGAGAAACCAAAATGTTCTTCTGCATTCATTACCAGACTTAGAATTAAAACTTTGTTTTCTACACATTCCCCTTTAACTTGTATGCTTCCATTGTTTCTCATAGCAGAAATGTTTTACATATTTTAACCATTTTGTCCTGTATGAGCCTACTATGTTTATGTGGCCGTTTACATATAATTTATTTACTTCAAAACAGTAAACACATGTATTGTAGCATTTCGGAATCATAATGAGATATTACATATAGTTACATAAAATTGTGCATCACCCCAGATCCTTTAAAAGTACAGTTAGTCATACCAACTTTACATAGATTATGAACACTAGTTTATCTATCAATATTTCAATAGTCCATTGTTATGTTTGTTTGATTACAGACGTTTATGGGATCAATTAGTGCAGAGTACCAGACTTTGCCTGAACCACTAGAAGCACGCTTTGTCCGGATCCATCCAAAGACATACGAAAGTCATTACCACCCTTGCTTTCAGGTGGAGATGTATGGCTGTTGGCTCTAACTGTCTCCTCACTGATTAAAAAAACGGCTACTGGGTCTAACGATCACAAGATTTGAGAATGTCAATATCGCAGATATGAAAATTGTTATATCGACTTTGTATGACTTATCATTTATTAAATTCACATCTTCTGTAAAGTGTCAAAGGTTGTGTTTCTTCTTTTGCAAATGAATGACACGTAAAGTTTATTTGTTGCTTTAAATTTCAGTCACACAAGATGGTGATATGTAACTGCTTGTGTTACAAAATCAACCTTTCATAAAAGCGATACATCTTAATATGTGACGGAAAAAATATATACATTTTCCTATTTCTTTTTTAACTATAGGTAACTATTGGGTTATCATTGAGCTCTGACTAAATTCTTTAAAATTGAATGTTCCAATTTCATACAAAAAACTGTCATACATGCTGTTATTTTATCATACCTAATCGTGTTATTCGTTTACTTTTACTCATTGGCGCGTTCTGAAATACCCGACCTCATTTGATGATGACGTAAATAATTGAATGAGTCATAATATCTGGTGAAATGGCATCACCAGCTAATATTTTGGATACAATTATTTCTCCTCTAATAATATGTATCTATTTAATATCAGGTTTTACGATTGCAAAGTCACGTGGCAATTTAAATCAGCTGTAACACCATCACTATTGATACTGTACATTACACAAAACAATGTTGATGGAAGTCAGACATTTACATGTAAACGTCTATTATTATAGCCAGCTCTTCATTACTGTGTAGTTATCGACAGCTAATGGCCTACTTATAAGTAACTACGGGGGACAAAAATAGGTGTTAGCACTAACACGTTTTAATTTTGAAAGAAATTAATTCTATTGATGCATCGACAACAGTGAACACTATAAATATGATGATCATATATTGCATTGATGGTCAATCCAACGAACAGACCTACAGAGAATGACCGAGCAGATCTTTACACACCAGATCCATATTTTGAGGTAGATATTAGCCTATCTATCCATAATTTGTGGTAGATATTAGCCTATCGATCCATACTTTGAGGTAGATATTAGCCTGTCGATACCTCCTGACCTGTGGTCTGTTACATATATTGCATCAGTTAATACATATATGTATTCAATTTGAAATGTTCGTGGTAAGCATTGTTATTGATTATTACGTCATATAAGGCTGGTGTCATTAAATGCCCCCCCCCCCCCCCCCCCCCCCCCAACAATGAAACGGAATTTTACTCAATGCACTTCACTATTTGTTGCTTAATTTTAATGCTCTTGAATTTATAAACTACAGAATAATTCATGGGATTTACGTTGATTGTGATTCAAGTTTCACTCGTTTGAAAGAATACAACGTACTTATTATAGACTCTCAATTCATTAGGTATTTTCTCAAATAATGACAAATAATAATATGTTCTTTATACGTTGAAAGTTCCCATCTCCTAAGCAAAAAATACAATAACGCATTTTTCTCAGACAAACTCAATTTATTTTGAATTCACAATTAAACTGAAGTACATTTTCATATACGTCTTTATCGACACGTAATCAGGGATTAGAATTTATCTGGCATCCGTAAACTTCTACGCGCATGCCGGGGTGGCTGCTAAACGTGACTGGCTTGAATCTGATAAAGCGAGCGTGCAGGGGAGTAGTGAGGACGTGCTTCGTCACGGTGTTCACGTTCGTACTTCCGGTATACACCTGCAATGAAATCAAACCTAAATCATTATGGTAGTATATGAAAGAATAAATTCAATTACGAGACAGGAAATATCCTTTTATGTCACGTGTACATGTTAGTGGTAAACTAATATTAAACAAAAACATTAGTTTATAACTACACTGCATGATAAATTTACAAAAGGTACATGTATTAGCTTGACCATGTTGAAGTCATGGTTTGTACAGTTGTCCAGATTCTATAAACGCGGTATAGATATGACCGTTACACTTCACTATCAGATCATTACCGCCATTATAGCCGTATAATGACGTGCGGATAACATACCATGTTGCCAGTTCCATTCTTTGTGCTCACGAAGGTATTGCCGTCGGAACTGTACAGCAGTTGGTACTCTGACGTATAGTACGTCGATGACGTGTAGCCCTGGGTAGCCACAGCGTGCACATCCATGACGTCACCGAGGTCAACCTGATATGTAGATTGACATGCACTTAACTCCAGAAACCTATGGTATATGTAAATTCAGGAATAGTTTTTCGCGAGAATTTCTGTAACATTAAAGTGAAATCAATTTACCTAAATATCCAGCCTAACAGGTTTATGTTGATTCTATTGTACATTTTGAGTAATGATTTTAACTCTTTCTTAAGAGTACGTCGGTCTTATAATTTTACAGTGGTGTCTACTGTTTGAAACGTGTGATATTTTAAATACACTTTACATAACCTTTCCCAATAAACAGCAGATACGATCGTCATAAACGATATATATGCTATAACAATACCGTATGTATAAGTAATTGTATTACCTGTAGCCACGAGGCAGTATTCTGTCCGATCCAGCCCTGAGGAGCATTCAGACGCCCGTCAGAGGCCGGGTGATCCCCATAAGAGTAGTGAGCAGACATCCGGGCATCTGGTATCTTCTTACTGCCCTGGTCCACCCCAAACGCCTGGTTCTCACAGTCTTACAGAAGAACAGAAAGTATACATTATCGTAGTTGATCAGGTCAAAGGTTATATCCTGGATCATTATATCATTTATTGGGTTGTTCTAAATTTAGTAAGAGAAGGAGAAAACTTGAATGCTCTCAAAACCATAATTCGAACTTAAAATCGATAAAACTAGAACAAAATATGAACAAAGTAAAAAGTACGTAGACAAATATCGGAGGTGTCCTGAAGAGTAAGCGTCTTCCGCTTTATCGACATCACCTTCCATGTAAACAAAGCATAACCTATTTTCAATGAAGAAGAGGTAGTCGACTTACTTGTAGCACACGTCTTTCCGCCGTACGGTGGCTGACAAGTACATACAAAACTGTCAATATCGTCCACACACGACCCTCCGTGACTACACGGGTTACTGAGGCACTGGTTCTTCTCTGTGTGAAAACACAACGTAAATAGTTTACAAAGGTCCTTATCAACAAAAAATACAAATATTGTCTAACAGGTGTACGGAAAAATTGGAAAAAGGAAAGTCTACAAATGGAATAGAGAGTACTTTTTCCTGATGCAAGTTATATTTCATTGTGTGATGAATACAAAGTATCTACCATTAGTTGGCGAGTACAGTATCATGCTTCGTTTGGTGCTATAGAATACCAGATATATTTCATGGAATAGGGTAAAAAGAAAATTGCATTTTAAATAGGGAAAGTATTCATCCCATGAGTTGACATATAAGTAGTATGCATCGAGAATCAAGGATGGCAATAACATGAACAAAATGACAAACATGTGCCACCGTCATTCGTGCATCAACGTACTGTGCTTAGATGTTTTATTTGAAAATGAAGTTACAATTCAGATCACGACTTCTGTTCTTTGTATTTCCCCCCACTGTAAATAAGGCTCTGTGGTTGGTTGTTTTACTTTGGAAAATAACAAAAAGTGTGGTCCTTTTAACACAAGATACTTCGTTCACTATACAACCGATCTTTTAAATGTTAAAATGCAATAATTAATAATATTAACTTTTTTTTTTTTTTTTTATATCTATACCATTAATAGATTGCTTATATTTATAATACCACTTAAGTTGTATTTCATAATACTAATGTATTGTGCTTATGTACAATACTAATATATTTATTATATATTTTAACAGACACATACTTTCGCAATATGATCTTTCTGTACTTATTCGCGATGAATTTAGTTTGTGTGTAACTCAACGTTAACGTCTTAATGTGTTTTAATTGTTCGTTTGATACGTGATTTTGCAATCAATACTTAACCCAAATACGCGCAAATAAGTAACACTAAATACACTCTACTATAAAAGGTAGGAAATCTATGTTACTACACAGAAAACCATTAAAAAAGTGAGGAGCATGATGACACAGTAGATATGTTAAACTAAAGATTTATGACAATAATAAAACAGTCGAAAATTCTTCCTATTCAGGAACAAACCTCTTGTGTCTATAGAGAAGATTTGGTCGGCATATTTCCCGTGCTTGTCCGTAACCCGGATGCCGAACTGATAGGTAGCATCCACATCCGGTGCTGTACCGGAAATTTGTCCGGTCAATTTGTTCAGATGGACACCAGGCGGCAGTGCACCGGAAACCTTCTCATACTTCAGTGAACCTCCTTCGGGGTCCTACATTAAAAAAATATAACACCTTAAATGCTTCCATGAATTAAGAATCTTCTTGATTTTACATTAGATAAGATATTTATATAATACAAATTAATAATAATAATAAAAAGATTATTTTCTGTTTTGCGAATTGATTTAATATTGCTATTCATCTTCACATAAGAAGTGTTTTCTTTTGGTTCTCTTTAACGACTACAATAAATTCCTAGTCAAAACAATTTCACTTGGGTAGCGATCTGTTGGACTATTATAGGTATACCACAGCTTCAAGATTCAGTGAAATTGACACTCCCCCGAGGAACGTGCCCAGCGATCCGTGAACGGCCTTCGATTCCCATACGGGTGGCATGCTGTTGACGATCTGAAAAAAAGAAAGATAGTTCAAACTACTGCTGTGATGGATTTTAAAGTAATGTACTTGTTTGATTTTATTGAGATTTATAGTTATGCTTTACGCGAAATTGATATAACTTTTAAAATATTGCTTACAAACTTTACGAAGAAGTAATAGGAGCACATCGTCCAGTCACTTGATAATTAACTTATATCAGTATTTGCCATTTATAACGAACACTATACATTATCATGCATTCGTTATCAATTTTACATTAATTACCTCAAACAGTTTTAGCATGTCGGTCGTACCAATGTAGACAGTGCCATTACCGGTTGGTTTCATGATGACGTTTCCGCCTTGTGGCCCTGCCTGAGAAAGGTGATGCATTGAATAGCTCTTCATCAATCAACCTGATACTTATTACTGAATATACAGACATCTATTGAATGGTGAAGTCTCGTTCAGTTGATCATGAAAATTGTTACCGTTTTCTTCTTGTAATATGAAAACTTTCACTGAGTATATTTTTTCTGTGAAAGAGAGGCTGCTCTGAGGGACGTGCCCAGCGAATCGTGAAATTAAAGTAAAAAACGATATTACATAAATCGTAGCAAGCATTGAAACCAAACAAATGTTTCCCGTTATATCTTGTAAATAACATTAAAGACACATTAAATAAAAATCCTGTATAGTCTTAACATATTTTGATGTGAATTATTATTATTTCTACCAGCATGTTTATTTATCACTGCAGTAATTATGTGATGTACACATACCTCTACGGTAAGATTACCACCAGTCTCAGCCGTAACCAACACATTCGGGTACTGTATCTCGAAAAAGCTTTAAAGCAAAGTTAAACGAAAGTTAAAATGTGAGGAGAACGTCGGAAAATATAAATGGAAATAAACCATCTCCTCTATTTAGGATACTCATCAGCATTACTTAAGGTTAGAATAAACCTAAACTGATCCGTGTTTAATCTCGACGACAATATCGATCTATTGGGAGTTCTGTTGACACAAGTTTTACAATATATTCTTGCACAATTTATAGCATGTTATACAGGTTAATTAAGAAGGTAATGTAAGCGATATTTGTTATGTTTCCTTTAGTGAAATATTGACCGGACCTGTCGGAAATTATATCATCATTTACTCAACATATCTATAATGTATAGAATAATTCCTTAAACAACGAAGTTTTGTTTTACATATAAGGAATATGTCACAAACAGTTAATAAAATAAGAAATAAGAAATGTATATTACCTTGCAAACGCATAAGGCAAGAAAACTAGCAGAAGATACGTTGTTTTGATAGCCGCCATTTTGTCCAAAGTTTGAGGCCTAATGCCAAGCTGCCATCCGCTGAAGTTTTGGGTTGACATCGACAGTCGATGGTATCACATGACTTGGGCGGTTACTGGGGATACACAGAGCGGAATATTTCAATCCCATATTAAACCATGCAGTCAGAGTAAACTTCATTGCCTTTCAATGTAGCTGAATGATAATATGATATTAACAAAATTATACATAAATTATTTTCAGCTTATTTTCATTTTTTTCTATTTTTTCTTTTTAAAGTATATCATAATAATAAAAAGCGTTTTGCTTCCAACATTATTTTTTTTCCAACCAATATTTCTTTTCTGATTGAAATGTTAACAAATGTCTACTTTTTCACATTCAGCATTCCACCTTCCAAGGGATTAATCTTTAATGCTGTTTTCCATATAGTATAATTGACGTTTTATATTTCAATGGCTCGTTTCGAATTTATTTTGTTTTAATGAAAGAAACAAAAACCAAACCAATTTCATTTATGAAGCACATGCATTCTAGGTCACTTTTACATTAAAGAGATACCGGTTACAAAATGATTTGTTTGGATAATTAAATTTGGCAATCAAATTGCCATTAGAGGTTACTTTTGCATTTAAGAGATACCCGATTTAAAATTATTTACGTAATGCCATGATGTTGCATATTTGTCCGGGTCGGATTCCACGGGTGTCTGTTTTTTGTGTTTACACGATTAGTGTCGGTAAATATAACCAGCATTAATGATACCCGTTTCTGGGAGATATAATAGACGTAATCCTTTAATGTGTGGATACTCTTGTTTCCAGACACTACAAGGAATTAGGTCAGGTTGTTCGGGATCTTTCAAACGTAGAACCTGACTCATCGATTGTATGTGTAAGTATCGCAGTTACAGCATGCGTGATGTAAGTGTTACAATATCTATCTTGAGTTTAAACAAATACACGTATTTACGAACCACGATATGGGATAACGTCATATTGTCCTTACATGGTAATCAGTTCATCCTCTTATCTAAAAAAAGAACAAATAAAAGAATATATTTCGCAACATCTTTTTTCTATTAAAAAATAATGATTATAGCTTCTCAATAAACTAAATAATATTACATCACTAGGCTCAATATTTAAATATATTAACAGAAACCGACATAACACGAAAAAAAGTTTATTAACGAATCAATTTAATCCTTTAAAACTTACGAAATATGAAGTTACTGGAAGCTGTTTCTACTGTTGGCATCTTGAAATATGTTATATTACTGTTGAACAAGAAGTGTACGTACAATTGATTCTAATGACGAAGATTATAACAGATTATTAGGTTTTCAATTAAGATTTAATCGTCACCTTCCAATGTTCGCCTCTAAACTAGTAATTAATTTCCGTCACAAGATGAATGACACTTATGATGGACTATTTACGGGTTTATCTGTAGCTGTGAAGCTGGAATTTATCCTAGCATTGTTAACATTAACACCTGTTTTCTATTGTTTGTAATGTTATAAACGTTTTATAGGCACCTTACCCTTTTTATGATATTTTTAGAAGTGCGGAAAACTTGATATGGAGGTGTTTCTTAGTTAGACCTTTTGTACCAGTGAGAAGTTCTAAATGGACAAAGGACAATATGGTACATCAACCTAAACTACATTTTCAAATGAATGCTTCCTTACTTCTGAGTGATTAGTATAATCTAGATTTTCAGAAGTGTTACATTTCGTAATCGATTTTAGTATTCTGAATGATGTCATTAACAAGAAAAGGGATAGACAAACCATTTTCGTAATTATACACATCTCCAAAATCATATTAGTTTTGATAGAAATTACTCCAGAAGTAGTTCTCTATATCATGGTTTGTATTGGGGGTTATAAGATAGCTACCTAGTGATACTGGTATCGCTATGTATTCACAGGAAAGACGTACTCTGGTGTGATTGTTATTCAAGATGGCGAACGTGTACGACCTGTTTACGAATTTGATGTTTGTGTGTCTTCTGATGCCTTTAGTTGTTTGGGCCGCTAGTGCAGAGTATGTAAGTTTTTAAAACTTAAAACTTGTAAATTTATCACCAACTTCAAATCTCCATATTAAAGAAAATTGTCGGTTTTTCATAATTTTCTTGTCTTGGTATAATTTCAGTGAACGTCCCCTAATGTAATATAATAGGAGTCAGCCACTGCCCATATATAAGTAAATCAACTAACCCCTCTAATCAAAATTTAATATTAAGAAAGGTAACTTTCTCTATCAGCAGCCAGTTTCTCTTATTTTAATATAATATCACTAAGCCACTTCCTCCTTTTTTAATATGATTTTAGACAACTTCTCTTTTTAACATATCTTCAGCTTCTAGACATATACATTGCAGTGTTAATATTTGTGAGATATCAGTTTTTATGCTAATTTGCGTTGATAATTGACTGCGAGTTAACGTATAATGTGAAAAATTATCCAAACATAACAAAAAACATATACATGATTGTAACGCAAATTGATGTTATCCGGAATAAGTAAGGAAAGTACATTTAGCGAAATTAATACGCACAACACATGTAAAATAATATTAATAATTTATATTGATTAAAATCAATTTAACTTAAATGTTACCGAATGAAAGAGTATATAGAAATGAAAGGTAAGAAATAAAACAAAATATAAATGTTGTTGTAAAAATATAATGTCACAGAAAAAAGAAAAAAAAATATCATTACTGCTGCAGAAAAAACAAACAATCAGTGAATGTTTGATTCGTTGTTCATTTTACAACTCTCAAAAAGAATAAACATGTAATAAGTGTAACTGTCTACTGTTACAGTCCTTTACAAGTGGATTATCCGAGTGTTATTGTCCACGCTAAAGCTGATGGAAACTTCACTATGTTGGTAAGCCAAAATCTACTGAGACTCATGGTTCTTCTTACGTCCGATTAGGTATCTTCAAATTATGTCAGCTTACTATATTGTATTTAATTGTTTTTAACCTTTCAGCCTTTCTGCTCATAGGAAGGGTGGGGATTGAGAACAAACTACACCTACTGTTATCCACTGTATGTTTCAAAATGCAACTAATGTGAGAACCTTCCTGCAGCATTGGGGATTTGCTTTTGTGCCCTCTATTTAGGGACCAAAAAACTGCATCCATTGGTAGCAGAGTACAGTAGCGTACGGTGGCCATGGGTGATATTTTTATACAATGAATAACCCCTGTAATATAACATGTATCAAAATTTAAAAAAAACATCAGCACTAAAATTGGCATATACATGATGAAGTGGACTATGTGGGCTTCATAACTTTTCATTTTTTTTTTATCGAATTCGGTTTGAGACTACAATTTTGGGCATTTACAAATCTGTGTCTACACAACAAAAGCTAGCTTTTCATGTAGTCTATTTTTGTACTCAGCACATGTGTAAATATTGTGAAAAATCCACCGGAATGACCTATGCTAAAACGTGAGTATTTCTGTTACCGAGTAGGCGATATTTAATTTCAGACAGGTTTTAAGAAAAACAATTCTACTTGCGGGGGTCAAATTCTGGGTTAAAAATCATGATTTTTTGCATATTTTGGTGTTTTTTGATGTGGTAACCATGGTTTTCAGAAGTCCCAAATCTGGGGAAAT